GGATTTTATTCTGAGAGCAAGAGAAGCCCCTTGCTGACAGTGTCACACAGGAGTGGCAAAGTCATTAAAGATCACTGCGTGCTCGCTGCAGTTAAGAGCTGTGAGGCATATCTATATGTGCTGCTATAGAAAGAGTCACAAGATACCCTACGTGGGGAAAAATCCCAAGAAGCAGAATACAGTATAAAATATGCTGCTAATGTCTTTTTAAAACAGGAGATGTATATGTATATAGGCTTGCCCGTGTATAAGATAACCTCATTAAGGATACCCAAGAAGCTGGTGAGGGTTTGCTTCTGGGGATGGGGAACTGCAGCATAGGTAAAAGGAAGACTCTTCATAGTATATTCGTTTGTATATTTGAATATCTTACTATGTGCCTGTATTACTTATTCATTAAAAAAAGACAGTTTGTCTAAATTGCGGTCTCCCTGGCTGCCATGTGGAGAAAGGGTGAGCACAGAAGCAGAGGACTGGCTAGTAGGCTCTGGCCATGGTCCAGTTGAGAGGTGGTGGTTGGTGGCTTCACCTAGGGAGTTGGTGATGGGGATGCAGACAAGCAAGAGGATTCATGATGCACTTTAGAGGCAGAGCCAGCTGGACTTGGTGAGTTCCACACGACAGTCCAGAGGAACGCTGTGTGCATTATAGGTAGGAACTGGGCCTACCTGACTCTTATCTGCCTTCTCTGACATCTTTGTGGAAGGAAGGTTCTTGGGCTCCTTCCAGGTGCTGAAAGCCTCAGAATTCCTGAGAATGTTGAATCCATCACAATATGGAGGACATAGTTATGGGCATGTGCCCCTTTCACATCCTCATGCAACTGTTACAAACGATTTTTAATGACCATCAAAACAAAGTTACACTGAAGAAGCCCGCCCATTTCTCAATGGATCTTGCTTTCTTTGCAGAGAGATGCCAAAGGCCAATACCTGTTTGACCTTCTTTGCCACCACCTGAATCTGCTTGAGAAAGACTATTTTGGGATCCGCTTTGTGGACCCTGATAAGCAGCGGGTAAGTCACTATTCAAAGCACAGATGCAGGAGAGGGTTGGTCAGTAAGCCTGAGGCCCTGAACTGTCTGTCACTCATGTTCAGAGTTTAGCCGCAGGAGTCGGGGACCAACCGGACCCTGCAGTTCGGTGTCATCTCTTCAGATCATATTGTGAGACCTGGAAGACCACGCGGCAGAGCTCAGCTGGAGTGGTCCATCGTTTTTTAGATGCTGAAATGGCAGCCTCGAGAGCTGAAGTGATTTTCCCAAAGCTGCCCAGTTAGAGTCAGGGCAGCTGGGCAGGTGTTGTGGTCTCAGAGCCCAGGTAACAGGCTGAGGCTGTCCTGCCCCTCTCTAGTAAATGGGCTAATTCGCCTTGTTCTGGTTAGGAACGGTCTCACCTGAGTGCCACAAGAACCCAATCTGGGCAGGACAGAGATGGAGCCGAACTGCCGTGGGCCTTTCAGCCCTCGCAAATCCTGCAATTCTTGTTCTGCTCTACACAACGTGGGCGGCTCTACAGACACAAGGCATTGACAAGGACTGTGACATTCCGGACAGATACAGAAACAAGGCCCCTGACTACTACTCCAGCTTCATCTCCCCAACCATCTCCACCCTGCTGTGGCCCCGCCAGATGATACTGTGACTCTCCACACACGTCAGTCTTCCCCTCTTCAGAGCCTTCACCTGTACAGTTCTCCTCTGGAACATCGCTTCCCCTTTCCTCACTTCTCTACTCTCCACACTTTCCTTCTGGCTAACTCCTTCTCACGTGTAAGGTCTCAGCTTAGGCTTTGACTTCTTTCCGGAAGCCTTCCCTAACCCCTACTCTGACTGAGGGGCCCCTCTGATGTGCCCCCATGTGCCCTGTTCTACCCCTATTGGAGTAGAACTTATTACACCATGCTGGTATCGCCTGTTTGATTACCTGTGTTCCTTGCAAAAATATGAGTTCCATGAGGGCATGGACTTTGTCTCATTCGTCACTGTAACCCATGGAACTAGCACAGGGCCTAGAATGCAGTGGATGCTCAATAAATATCTGCTGAAGGAATGATGAGTGGGTGAGTTAGTGGGTTATAGTGCCATGTTCCTGCCCTCCACTTGCCCAGCTACGCTTCAGGCCCACGCGTGCAGTTCCTATAACTTCCGTCCATCAGCCCTTTGCTCGGTGTGGGGAGGAGGTTCTCTCTGGCATCCCCACCAAAGTGGGAAAGTATGCAGAAGCATTCAGGCCTCACTGCCTCCCTTCCCCACAGCCACTGTCGTCTACCGTCCTCCAAAAGCACTGTCACCACGAGCCCCAGAGGGCCCCCCTTTCATGGGTCCACTCATTTTTTTCATAGCTCCAAACATAAGCTTCATCTCTGTCACCACTGGGGACCTTGGAGCCCCGGAGGGCACAGCCTCCCAGCAGTGCCCAGGGCCACAGGTAACTCCCTCTCCAGGCCAGATTCAGGCTGTGTTTTTTGTTTCATTCATTCATTTATTAATTATTTGGCTGCATCAGGTCTTCATTGCTGCTCCCAGGCTTTATCTATTTGCAGCGAGCAGGGGCTACTCTTCGTTGCAGTGAGCAGGCTTCTCACTGCAGTGACTTCTCTTGTTGCGGAGCACAGGCTCTAGACACACGGGCTTCAGTAGTTGCAGCACGTGGGCTCAGTAGTTGCGGCTCGTGAGCTCTAGAGCACAGACTCAGTAGTTGTGGCGCACGGGCTTAGTTGCTCTGCAGCATGTGGGATCTTCCCGGACCAGGGATCGAACCCGCGTCCCCTGCATTGGCAGGCGGATTCTTAACCACTGCACCACCACAGAAGTCCCCAGGTGTTGTTTTGTTGTTTGATGCTCTGAGCCGCTGTGTCTCCAGGTCACATTTAGGGTTTTATGCTGAAGACTTGAGCTATAGGAAAGAAACCAAAGCCTGAATCTGTTTCCTTTGACAAGCCCTGCCCCACTTTGCTGCCATGTTTCATTCCTCCTGGCTCAGCAGAATTTTGAGCATCACCAGTGTTTGAGGAGTGTTGAGGTCAGCCCCTCACCCTGTAAAGGCCCCACTGTCTTGGCATAGATACTATCCTTAGCTCTGGGCGATAGTGTAAGACCCCCCCCCAAAGTGCCACGACACCAGGAAGCTACATGTCCTCACATGCTCTAGGTGTCCGTTCACTCTGTAATGGTAGAGTCTTAGACTGTTTTTACAAAGGGATTTTGTTGTTGTAGTTTGTTTATTTTGGGGAGTCAGAGCTGTTTCTCCTTAAGAAGGAAGACCAGTTACCCCAAGGTCTCTTCATCTCCCAAAGGCAGTGGCATATGAAGAAAAAAGGGTAAAATGTATCCTGTTCATTATTTTTTAGTTGGGTCAGCATGTGCTTGAGGAGGATAAGAGAGTATGTTGAGATGACAAAGATTAAAAGCCAAAGGAGACAGAGAAAAATAAGGAAATGGGGAAAAGGAGAAATAAACTTTCATGGAGTGACTCCTTTGTGCCAGGCTCCACTCTGGGCACAAACCTAGATCTTTCAGCCAATGGACGTTGAGTGATGAGGTGTATCAGGCACGAAGCTAAGAGCTTCACATGTGTTATTCGATCCTTACCACGAATGAGATGAGTATCTGCAGTTATACCATCCATTCTCCAGATGAGTGGACGGTCTCGGACAGGTTATGTAACTTGCCCAAGGCAAGTGGCAAAGCCTGTCTCCTGCTCAGACCTGCCTGATGCCAGAGCCTGTGTGGTTTCTGAGGGTTCCATGCTGAATTCATACCCTAGAGCCTCTAAAGTGACATGATTCTGTGCTTTTATTGAGGGTTTAAGGAGAGCAGGGAGGCTTGAGAGGGTCCTTGAGAGCTGTGGGGAAATGGACCTGTGAAGAATTGTCCTAGATCTACTGATCACGATAGAGATGGAGATGAGCTCCCTGCCCCACCCCACCCCGGACCTCTTCCCCTGAGCACCAGGGCGGCAGAGCCCAGCGCTCACATCCATCCCATCATCGCTTGCTCTGCAGGGGTCTCCATGGGGTCTGGGATTTCTCTGGTCCCTCCTGGAGGAACTGCCCTCACTCCCCCTCCGCTGTTCCTGACTCAGGCCCTGGTCTCAGACTATTCTCACCCTCTCCTTCAAGCCCCCGGAGTCTGAAGATTGTACCACCTTGGCTCCTTCACCCAAATGCAGGAGGAAGCTCCGCTCCCTGAACCTCCTTTTTACCCTTCTCCTGACCCCCTCCTCCCCAACCCGGTGTTATCAGTTTGCTAGTGATTCTGGGACCCAGATATAGGCAGACAGCTGCAAACGGTAACTCTGGCCATCACCGTATTTGGGGGATCCTGTCAAGAGTTCTCTACCAGACCGTCTCTTGGACAAGCTTTCCACCTTCTTTCCACCTGCTCGTGGTCTCCTCCAGCCTCGCTCCTTTCTGGAGCTCGCACTCCAGTACAAACTAACGTCTTCCCTCCAGCTATTGCCAAGGGGAATAGCCTTTTGTCATTCAGCCTCTCTGCCTTCTGCTGATCATGGATCTATCATTGCACTTAGCTTCCATCTGTCTTCGTTTATTTATTTTAATCTATTGGTCCAGTGCCTCAGGGCATTTAGTTTTCTGAGTCCCTTGCTGAGACACTTGCTGTGTGCGTCTCACTGTCCACAGTTCTGGTGTGCTCCGCCCAGACAGGCCTCCTCCACCTTCACAGGCATGGTCTGGAACCCCAGTTGTTTCCATGCAGTTTCATCTCCTGCCTTTGCTTCCCTGTGAAGCCAAGCCGCGGTGGGCCGTGTAATGTGAGGAGGACCTCTTAACCACACTGAGTGGCTATAATGAGTTGCCAGCCTCGTGGGAACTCAGATCAGAGGAAGCAAGAGAGCAGGATGTCAGCCCAGATTATCCATGTGGAGCTGACGGGAGAACTGGCTCTTGGTGGGTCCATTAACTGTGTGACCCACGGCCCAGCCCAGAAGGTGAGAGCTGGGCATCGAGGGAGGCCAGGATGCGTCTGTGTGGCCCTGCCTGCTTTCCTGCCAGAGGGAGGACTCTGCCAGACATTTTACTAAATAGAAGTAGTCAGAAAAGAGGGAGGTATGGACCTGCTTCCTTCTCCTGCTCTACAGCTGCACGTTGAGCACTGAGCTGGGCACCAGTGATACAGTGGTAAACAAGACAGAGTTTTCTGCCCTCACAGAGCAGTGGTTTTAAGCTACATCCAGATAACCAAGCCCCAAATATCAGCAATTCTAGCTCTCTGCAAATTATCAAGGTTCCTGATTATCATAAAAGCAACAAACGTCAATAGTGCATTTCATAAGGGATCCATGTAGAAGTGGGACATTGATATAGAACGTTCTCGTTGCTTCCTTTCCCCAGCGTAAGTACCATGGGGAAAAATGCCTTGCTACTATGTCCTGCCTCTGTGAAAATCCAGGGAAAACAGGATACTACACATCGGTGTGGTTAGTTATCTTATGAGACTTAGATTTTAAACATCCCTGGATGCCAAGGAATCCTGAGTATGTATTCCCTAACACAAGGGTTGGCAATGCGTTGCTCAAACAAAGATCAAATATACACCAGCCATCCCTGCCTTCTCAACATTTATGAAATTCCACCTGCCAGTGCTTTCTAGAGCTGCTACCAATAGCCTCAGTGTATCATCCTGTCCCCACTGCATAACACAAACACAACCCATTAAAGGGAGTATTTCCCTACTGAAAAGCCAGGTGGGGCTCTGTCCCCATCACACATATGTGCATTCATTTGTGCCTACTGGCATGCCAGAAACATGGCTTGGAACTCTGGCGCCCTACGTTGGAAGGCGGCATTGCCAGGGAAGCCCAGAAATGGCATCTGAAGCTGGATCTCTTCCCCCCTTCACAGCTGGTTCCATGGGGAGCTTATTTCAGAAAATCATATCATTCTGTACTCTCCAAGCCTACATATCACAAGCTTCTGAGCTGCTTTCACCCTGGGCTACAATCTGTCTAGTTTTTTAAATTGAATAAAACAAGTTATATTTGACACTGCTTCTCATTAGGGCTTTCTTGTTCTGTGTTCTCTGTTTCAGCATTGGTTGGAGTTTACAAAGTCTGTGGGGAAGCAGTTGAGATGTAAGTATTGTCCATGAAGCCTCACCCCTGGGGAGGGTGGGAGGAAACCTCCCACTTGCAGTGAGTCTTGGGAATTTTCCACTGTTCTAAGTGTAAGTTGGCCCTAAACATGTGAAGATTTTCTTTAGATGGCTCAGAGACCTGTGCATCCCAGTGGGGCGGGGAGCCCAATCATCTTCCTGGGAAGGTCTTCCCGATGGGCACCTCTTTTTCTCTGCAGCCCAGCCTCCATTCACCATGTGTTTCCGCGTGAAGTTTTACCCTGCAGACCCTGCTGCCCTGAAAGAAGAAATAACCAGGTAAGGCTGAGCCCATGTCCCTCAGCCTCTAAGACTTGTTGGAGAGGATAGGAAAGAGGGACTGTAGCTTCCTAGGTCCTCTACTTTGGAAGCTCCCAACGCTGATAGGCAAGGAATTCTTCCTAAATATAGCCTTACTTCTATATTTCATTTCCACATGCTCTCTTTGCTCATGCCCTCAGCAGAATTGCAACGGAGTGAGCTTCTTTCCTTCAGGAATACTTCATCTTAAACTGGTCATCTGCAAAGGGGTCTGGAGTAATGAATTAATCAAAAGCATTTTTTCTTTTACCAATGATGTGGCCACCATGGATGTTTTTGGAGACGGCCGTGTTGCTGCTTATTTGGGGGCTTGAAATAGACTCCAGCGGCCTAATGTACTTGGGAAATGGCAAAGCAGGACACTGAAAAACAAGCTGGGAAACACTGAAGATTTTAAATCCAAGTGGGTGACCTACCATGTGCTTATGGATCAGGCCCGTGATAAACTCTTCATTGTGGGGATCGTGTTCTGTGGCAGGCAGCTACGTGGAATGAATCCTGTCTCATCCAGCACCACTTGGGGATGAGAAAGAACCTCTGTGCCCACACCATCCTACCAGAGGGTCAATGAATTGGAGCTTCAAAGCTCCCCCAAGGGTTTTGTGTATCTAAGCCAAATTCACTCTAAAAGTCTGACCTCAGAGATTTAGAACTCTCTGAACTGGGATCCTTAATTTTTATATTAGAAAGATGTAATTCGGACATTAGCAAAACCTTGATGTTACCTTGTAAAGGGTGGAGGCCTAGGTGAAGAGATGATGCCAGGGAATCCTAGAGCCGCGAAAGAGACAGCTCTGCCAGCTCTGCCCCCCCTCCCTAAAGCCTTAGAGACAGCAAAGATTGGGACGAGGCCATTGCCAGTGTAGAGACTGCTTGTCCTCCTAAGGCCTTGAGACCTATTTCTAGATCCTGAACTCCACATGAGCCCCAGTGGAGGTTGAGGGGAATCTTGCGAAGGAATCAAAAGGATCAGGAAGGTTGTTTCCTCCAGATGCTCTGGGCGCACCCACCACCCACTTTAAAGCACTGAGAACAGTGAAGTGTGTAGTTACAACCAAGTCTCGTGCTCCTTACTGGGCACATGGAAACTGCAGGCTCTGCTCATCCATGTGGAAGTGGATGTGGCCCCTACTTTGCCTGTGAAAACCAAGCTCATCCATATTAATGAGCAATCCTGTAGCTTTAGGCAGGAGAGTGAGGGTAGAACCACTGTGTTTAACAACTTAAACAGAGAGGAGTTTTGGTAAAGCACTAGCCTGCCCTGCTCATGACTTCCAGAGTGCTTGCCACAGTTCTGTACCTGCCCCTCCTTCCCCGCTTCCCTCCCCCTCCCCCCTTTCCTTTCCTCCCTCCCTCCCCGCCTTTCTCTCCTGAAAGAGGTGATGGTGCCAGGGCAGACCCAGAAGTCCACGCTCCTGTCCACATGTCTGGGCAGATTTAACACATCTTTTTTTTTTTTTTTTTAACATCTTTATTGGGGTATAATTGCTTTACAATGGTGTGTTAGTTTCTGCTTTATAACAAAGTGAATCAGTTATACATATTAACACATCTTTGTTGAGAGCCCAGCACCTAGCCTCCTAACACCTCGCATCAGGATCACCTTTTCTGCACCTCACTGGACCAACAGTAAGGATGAGAGGGTTTGGTCTGACAACTCAGAGGGCTGCCAGTGACAGCACAACAGACACACGGCTTTCTGATTTGATTAAAGGACAAAAATATATAGTTCTCTTGGCCCTTAGGAGGAGGTCTTTTTTTTTAAGATTTTTTTTTGATGTGTGGGCCATTTTTAAAGTCTTTATTAAATTTGTTACAGTATTGCTTCTGTTTTATGTGTTGGTTTTTTAGTTGTGAGGCATGTGGGATCTTAGCTCCCTGACCAGGGATCAAACCCACACCCCCTGCATTGCAAGGCAAAGTCTAAACCACTGGACTGCCAGGGAAGTCCCAGGAGGAGGTCTTAACAATACAGTTTTCTAAAACAAATGTCACTACATGATACTAATGTACAGACCCTCCTACCCAAGGAGCAGCATAGACCAGGAGGCTCAGATCCTGTTTCTGCTACTTCTTGGCTATGTGGCCTTGGACATAAAATATTTAACTTCTCTGACCTTCAGATCCCTTATTTATAAAATGAGGATAGTAATAGTACCTCCCAGCTTTGTTGGGAGGATTAACCACTACACGGGGTCTTGTACTTCTTAATACACCCCCAGGGAGCCTGGCACTGAGCAAAGGCTCATTGTTTACTGCCAGGTCGATTACATGGTCCGTGGACCTCAGGGGCTCTGCATGGGGCACAAGTACAGTTGGTTCTGGCTTTTCTCCCTTGTTTATGTGATAATCCCCACTCCTTTTCTGTCCTAGCTAGAGCCCTGACACTTAAGCAGCTAACTTGTGAGGACTGGGAAAGCCATGGCCAGGCCCCTCTCCAAGTCAGCAAACTTCAAAGACACTGGCAAGCATGTGAGCTCCTGCCCCTTCCGCATGCAACTGTGCCCATCATCCTCGACTATTTTCCCCTTGCTCTCTGCCTCACCTGCCTTCCTTCCCTAGAGGGCATTTTCCAAGCGTTGTCAGGTGTGCGGACCTCAAGGTGCCTGGGCCTGATTTGGAGTCTTTGTGCCTCCCCCTCCCTGAGGCGTTCTGTGGAGGCCCTGGTCTTCGCTGCGTCTTTATCCTCATTCACATCCCTGCTGCTCTTAAAAGAGTGGGTACCTGCCCCAGCCTCATTCAATACCCATAATTCATTACTGGCTTAGAGCTCTCCACCCCACCTTCCTGCCAAACTAATTTAGCTGTCAGTGTGGTTTTTTTTCCTGGCAATATCAGTCCTAAATTTCACTGCCGTCTCAGCTACTCCCATAAAGCCAGGCTTAGAGGAGGGGATGAAGAACTGTGCTGCAATTTATCTCTTGGACTCTTCCCAGATGATAACTTTAGTTGCCAGATCCTGATTAATCTCTTTTGTCATTTTTTAAATAAATAAATAGATTTTCTTGTCTGAGCTAGAGACAAGGCAGAGAAAATGGGGATTAGGCACCAGATTTAGCTTTTAACAAGGGCTGCAGGTGTTCGAACTCATTGAAAGATCAAGTAATAGAAGGAAACTGAGTGCACATGGGGCCCCACCTTCCAAGGAAGCAAACTGCCTGACACATGTTTGAGCAGGTGCTCAAAAAATGTTAATAGACTTTTCAGGTCATTTATTTTTCTTTAAAAAAGTTAATAGAGTTTATAGGTAATGTATTCCATCAGTGAACATCACTTGAGCCTAGCTTAGGCTAAGATGGGTTGGCAAACTTTTTCTGTAAAAGACCAGATAGTATTTTAGGCTTTGTGGGCCATATGGTCTCTGTCGCAACTAATCTGTTCTACCATTGTAATGCGAAAGCAGCCACAGACAGTACATACATGAATGAGCATGGCTCTCTTCCAATAAAATGTTATTTTATCTCACTGGGGGCTCTGGTGGCAGGTTTAGTGTGCCAATCCTGGGAGAAGGAATCAAAAAGATCTGAGTTCAAATCCCAGGTGGTTCTTTAACTAGATGTGTGACAAGGCAAGCAACAATATCTCTAATCACTCCCTTTCCTCATGTATGAGACAGGGATAAAAACAGTAGTCACCTCATAGAATTGCTGAAAGAGTGCGTGTTAAACACTACAGTGTGTGGCACACAGCATGCACTCAGTAAATCACTGCTATATTGTGTCTCTCTCCACTGGAATGTAAGCTCCATAAGAGTAAGGACACTGCTTTGTTCTCTGCTGTATTCCGAGCACCTATGCCTGTACCTGGCACATGTGTGTGCTCAGAACTAGATGGATAGATGGATGGAAGCTTGGATGGACGGATAGAGGGATGGTTGAATGGATGGATGGATGGATGGATGGATGGGTTGGTGGTTGAATGGATAAATGGATGGATGGATGGATGGATGGATGGATGGATGGATGGATGAGTGGATGGGTGGGTGGGAGGGAGGGTGAATAGGCACAGGATGTATAGGCTTTCTAGAAGAATATTAAAAGTGACAAAACATAATCTCTAACTCCAAGGAGCCCGCAGTCTAGTATGGGGGAGGAAGACATACTAAACATGATCATAGTTAGGAAAAGGGATGGCAGAAAATAGAGGAAACCAGGGGCAAAGGATCTTCTGGAAGAAACTCTTCAGGAGCTGCCAGTGCTTTCCAGAGTTCAGAACCTTTAATTGAAATATCTCTGGATTCATCCCCACCCTCTGATATCAGAAATCAGAATGCCAAAGCCAGTTCCTTGGATGTACATGTTCCAGAAATACATAGGTTTTTCTTGGTCATCTTTTTTTTTTTTTTAAACCCTGAAGAATCTCTCTCTCTCTCTCTCTTTTTTCTTTTTTTTTTTTGGCTGCGTTGGGTCTCTGTTGCCACGTGCGGGCTTTCTCTAGTTACGGCGAGCGGGGGCTACTCTTCATTGTGGCGCACGGGCTTCTCATTGCAGTGGCTTCTCTTGTTGCGGAGCATGGGCTCTACGCGCACGGGCTTCAGTACTTGTGGCTCACAGGCTCCAGAGCGCAGGCTCAGTAGTTGTGGTGCACCGGCTTAGTTGCTCCGTGGCATGTGGGATGTTCCCAGACCAGGGCTCGAACCCGTGTCCCCTGCACTGGCGGGTGGATTCTCAACCACTGCGCCACCAGGGAAGCCCTCCTTGGTCGTCTTTTAGGCTCTCACACACTCTGCCTTTGGATGGTCCTCCATCAATTTAGGACAACCTGGCATTTAAACAAAAGTGGAGGTGAGGTAAAGCCTCTTTGAAGCCAGAAGGAGATAGGCAAAGTTTAACCAAAAAAGTGTCCTAAAGAGAAAGCTTTTTGTCTTAAATCTGGTATAAAGCTGATTTCTTTTTCATTCCAGTGAGAATTTCTCTCTGATGACAAAGAGTTCCCCTGACTTTATTTAGGACCCTTTTCTCCCTAACCATAGCTCACTGAATTACCATGCGGGTTCTGTTTCCTCAGCTATAAAATGCGAGAGTTAGGCTCTGTAACTCCTACTATGAGGGTCTGAGACTGGGGAGCCCAACTAGCCTGCTCATTATGAGCTGCTCATTATAAGCAGGCTGATCCCTTGCCTGGCAACTCAGTGGCCCTGGTGACAGTGCCTCAGGCAACAAGATAGTCTTCCTTAGGCCCTTAGGTCGCAGGGGAGAACATGCCAGGGCATGTTTCTATTTCCCCTATTCTTGGGAATAGGTCTAAGGATGCTATGAGTCATGTGGGATGTATTTTCATGACCAAACAACACTGAGTCATTGGTTACCTCCCTAAATGAACAAAACACAAAGCTTGACGGAAGCTGCTGGGGGAGAAAAGGGAGGGGGGACCCCTAGTGTAACTCTCTCCCTTGCAGCTGTCAGTTGATTCTTTCATGAGCTCATCTCGTCCTCTGCAGACTGTGGTGTGTTTCTTTAGGATGTTGACTTGCCCCTCCATCCCCTCCCCCTCCAGTTGCTGCACCATTGCTTGACAGTGTTCCCACGGCCTTACCCTTGACCTCCCTGTAGCTGTTGTACCTCCTGAAGTCTGAAGGAACCCCGCCCAGCAGCGGAAAGCCTTGTTCCCTTTCCAGCTCACCTGAGGCACCTGTCTTGCACCTATCGTGGTTCTCACTGTGAGGAGCGTGTCCCCCTTGGAGGGCAAATCAGAAGGTCTAGAGGAGCCCTTTCAAACCCAGCAGCACCCATACACAGACTCTCACATGCTCCTCCCCGGGGTGGGGGATGTTCTCCTCACCACCACATTGAGGACCACTATCCAGAGCCTTTGAAATATCTCCTTCAGTCCAGTACGTGCAGCCCCTGAATTTTGGACACAGGCAAGCAGAGAGGTATGGGAGGAGTGATGCATGAACTCAGGCCCCGGGAGTGATCTGTAAGTAAGAGGCCAAAGGCTTGCTGCTACATCCTGCCAAAGCCGGTGGAAGGTGGGAGCTGAAGCAGTGAGAGGCAGAGAAGCGCTGCCCCCTTCCTTCCACACACCTGTGGCATTTCTTCGTGGGAAGCAGAGTGAAGACAAGCTTGATCTGGTAGATCCAACTTTAAAAATTACCACTCATTGCACGATGTCTTTTTCCTTCAGTTTTCCTTGGGGCCGAGTGGGAGTGGTTGGGATAAGAAGGGGAGTTCTTGTTAACTTCCGGACCACAGTAGTCACCTTCCCTTTGGTTTGAGGAGGGCAGTCCATCCTGATGTGGTTAGAAGGATGCTTGCGAATTTTCTTAGGACAGTGCTTCATAAATTTTAATCTATGTACAGATCACTTGGGGATCTTGTTAAAATGATTCAGTAGGTCTCAGATGGGCCTAATTCTCCATTTCCAACAAGCTCCCGGATGCTGCTGATAACCCTGTTATGTGGGCCACACTTTGAATAGCAAAGCTTTAGGAGAAAAGGTTTGATTGCTCCTTCGTTTCTGTTTAATGACTTGAATCACCAAGCCCCGAGCTCTCAGAGTCACGTGCTGGTGCCCCTCCTCACCCCAGAAGTTGTGCTGTCATTGGTCCTCTTTCTTTTGAGCATTTTCACATGATCAGGTGGGCATGGAATCCTCTGTTTTATTCTTCAGCCTGAAAACAGAAGCAATAGAAACACCTCTAGTTGTCCAGGGAGTGCCCAATTTCTTTTTGGTTCAAACTGATGGAATTTAAGGGAATTTTACCATATTCCCATTACTCCTGTGAGGATGCTGTAGTTATCTATGGCTGTTTAACAAAATGCCACAAAACTTCACTTAAAATTATTTCTCATCTCTGAGTGTCTGTGGGTCAGGAATTCGGGAGCGGCTTAGCTGGGTGCTTCTGGCTCAGGGTCTCTCCTGGGGTTGCAGCCAAGCGGTTGGCTGGGCCTGTGGCCATCTGAAGGCTTGACCGGAGGATTCACTTCCAAGATGGTGTACTCACATGGCTGTTGGCAGAAAGCTTCAGTTCCTTGCTAGCTGTTGGCAAAACGCCTCAGTTCCTCACCATGGACCTTTCTATAAGGCTGCTTAAGTGTCCTCAAGCAGAGTGAGTGATCCAAGAGAAGGAGAGCGCAAGGAGGAATCTGCAGGGACACTATGACCTAGTCTCAGATGTCAGACACTAACTACCACTCCTGCTTTAGTCTGCTTGTTAGAAGCAAGCCACTGAGTCTAACCCACACTCAAATGGAGTGAATTAAGCTCTACCTCTGGAAATGAGGAGTATCAAGGAATTTGTGAACTTTTTTCTTTTTTAACCATGCCACGCGGCTTGTGGGATCTTAGTTCCCCAGCCAGGGATCGAACCCACGACCTCAGCAGTGAAAGTGCAGAGTCCTAACCACTGGACCGCCAGGGAATTCCCTGTGGACATATTTTTAAACCACCACAAATACCCGCTGCCAAGGAGCCACTGTGGTAGGTGACTCACTTAAGGGTGTGATACCCCTGGCCTCTGCTCTTCTCAGGGCACCTGTGAGGTTATGAACATCAGAGACCCCACTCCTTGTAAAGACCTTTCAGAATGGAACGTCAACAGTTCCATTCCATGGCAACAGAGTCCACCCAATTACTTGTGAAACTACAAAGCAGTTATAGTGCAAAGAGCGTAGAATAACACAGTGATGAAGAGCCAACCTCAGTCCTGAATTTGAATCCTGGTTCTGCCACTTACCAGCTATATGCCCATGAGATAATCACCTAAGCCTCAGTTTATCTTAAAAAAGGGAGATAATAACAATATATATCTCAAAGTGGTATGCGAAAATTAGATGAGATGCTGATGTCAGGTGTGTCAGTCCTGGACTGGGAAATAGTAAGTGCTCAATACACATCAGCTACTATTAGCTGTTCTTGATAGCCTGCTTCCACCTGAGGTGAGAGCTTCCTACGGTTGAAGAAATATTAGCCACAAGTTGCTGCATTTCCTTCACCAGTGCCTCTTCTTACACCTTATTCAAATTCTTAGAGGTCTGGTTGACCTCTGCCCATAATGAGGGCCATTCCACATATGGACAGATTGACTTGGCAAGCCGAGGCAGAACTCTCCCCGGGGCTAGTTCCTTCACCACCTCTCTGCTTCTTAAGAGGCAATGTCAGCGAGAGTCCAAGGCGGAGAGAGGCCCCATCAGCCCCTCTCTTATGACACAGGTTTCTTTCTCGGCACTGAATTGAGCGGGGCCGGCTCCTTCCAAATCCCAGCACTGGGGAACGATGCTTTTAACCAGAAAGTGCCATTTCTGGCTTTTTTCTTTTTCTTTTTCTTTTTCTTTTTCTTTTCTTTTTTCGGTACGCGGGCCTCTCACTGTTGTGGCCTCTCCCATTGCGGAGCACAGGCTCCGGACGCGCAGGCTCAGCGGCCATGGCTTACGGGCCCAGCCGCTCCACGGCATGTGGGATCTTCCCGGACCGGGGCACGAACCCGTGTCCCCTGCATCAGCAGGCGGACTCTCAACCACTGTGCCACCAGGGAAGCCCGCCATTTCTCTTTTGAGCTACAGAAGGAAACTGACAGGTTGTTTTGAATTGAACTTCAAAATCAGTTCAGGGCAAAGTGCTTGAAAGAGCCTTCAGGGAAATGAAAAGTGTTATTTGTTCTGTGGTATGTTTTGAGATTTTTGTTTTAATGTAGTAAAAGTGTCCTGACAGAGATTTTAATAGGCTTATATTACATATTTATGTCTTTAAAGCAATCAAAGAAATCCTTTATAGTTCATTTTCTGTTTTCTCTCCAGGTATTTAGTCTTCCTGCAGATCAAAAGGGATCTGTACCACGGCCGCCTCCTCTGTAAAACATCAGATGCTGCCTTGTTAGCAGCTTATATCCTTCAAGGTAATGACTTTTGACAGGATAAATTTGCTTTTCATGCTAAGTACTGATTACATTATTCCAGTTACCACAGATGACTACTTCTTGGATATAAACAGTATCTAACTTGAAACAGAGCCCGAGTTAAAGGACTTTGCCTGGACTCCCTAGACCCAGGAAGCTCTGACCACGCAACCTTAAATTGTTTGTACCTAAAGTCTTTCTGGCAGCCCCTTCAGACTCTGTTCGGAGGGGGTGGCTTTCCTTGCACCCTCGGTCGATAAAGTTATCGAGGCTCTGGAGAGTAATCCAAATCAGCTTTTTCCTGTCTTTTTATTCAAATCTCAAAGATGTGAAGCACCTTGGAATTCTGGTATCTGTTTCAGAGACCTTTCCATTCAGAGTGCTCTAAGTTAAAAATGTTTCCAAGTAACAAACCCCTTTTCTAACATGCAAAGAAGGCAGAGTTGGGGTTGTATTCAGCCAATACCCAGACTGGCGGTTTTTGCAAAACAGTGGGAAAGGTACGTACTCTTCTTATGTGACCCTTTCTCCTTTCGTGAAATGCAGGGGACTTCTAAGTATTCTAAGTTCGTAGACTTCTCTTAGTCCTTTGGCCTGAAGCTGTCACTGGGTTATTTTGGACCATAGCACTAAAATCATGAAGTTTCTATCAAAGAATCTGAATTCATAATCAGAAATCTGTGAACTCCAGGAAGCTACTTTGTGAACAGAACCTTAAAAAATGCTTGCCAATAAGAAACTAAAGTTCTTCCGGCAAAAAAAAAAAATATCACAGCTGCGTTAAGAATGTAAAAGTCAGCCTATTGCAACTTTGACTTCTGAGACTCCTGTTTTAAAAACCTCCTAAGCCTGAAGTCTAGAAGGCACTTGCCAACTTTAAGGTACCCAAAGATACTCCTTTCATTTTTTAAAGGAAAACCTGGTCCCATCTAAGTGAAATTTTAAACTCTAGTTTTACCCTGACAACCATATTGACATCTTCTTTTTTTTTTTTAAAGAAGTTATTGATATCCATCATTGATGCTTCCCATTTGGAGCTTTCTAAGTAAAATCATAATAAATGACTCCATGGCTCAAGATCACTTCAGACTTTAAGCCCAGAGAAGCCTTTAGTCTCTTGCTAAATGATAGAAATTCCCGAGTAGTCTGGAAGGCACGATGAGGAGACCTGTGCCACAGAACAATATTCAGTTGTGAAAAAAAGGGCACATTTTCCTCTTAATATTTACTCCCCGCTCAAGACTTCTCACCTGCACTGGTTGTGGTTCTCACTAGGGGAGGAGAAAAGACAACCACAAAGCAGCTGAACTTCTTAACATCCTTCCTCCTGACACACAGCGTTCCCTGTGGAATGCTGCATGTGGAGAAGGCTGGATTCTGACCTAGGAACACATTGTAGGGAGTAGCATGGGCCCACTGGCCACCCCAGATCTGAGATCTCAGCAGCTTTGGGGATGGACTCTCTGTGAATCTGCAGGACGAGAAAGCCCCACCCCCTGCTGGGAACGGAGAAGTCAGCCTTAGGACCTGGTGCTCCTGAACTCAGCGGCACTTTCTGCTTACAGCCAGTCTCCCCACTCTGCAGCCCTCTCCAGGGGGCCTGGCACCTGTTCAGCCCTCAGTGGATATTTATTCAAATGTATTCACTTGATTTGATTTGATTGGGACTGAGAGTTGAGTTCTGACTTTGGGTCATGGTTCGTTCATCATTTTGCTGTGTCCCTGCTAAAATCCTCAAAACGAGATTTAGACTTTGGATGTGGCTCAGGCCCAAAAGCTTCTGTCTTTCTGATCAAGCTCACAGTTTCCTGTGCTGCCACAAAGAGCATTGCTCTCGGGCTCTCTTCTGGGAGCCTGTGGGCCATGGTGCAGGCTTCCGCTCTTTTGTTGTAAATTTACATGTGGTGACCTCAGAATGCAGGGTCAGCTCTACCTTCTCTACTTGGCCTTGATATCAACTCAGTGTGCACACCTGGGAAAACAAAGGTGGGCCTGCTCCTGAGGAACATGCCCTCTGCCCGACTCACAGCCGGTCTCAGGATCCACTGTTCTTTGCAAAGCTGGTGCAGACTTTGGCTTTTGCTCTGTGTTAATCTCTTGTTTTGCCAGTGATGATTTACCTATTTCCACAACTGTTTTCCTCTACTTGCCTTTTGCTAGCGGAGATTGGGGATTATGACCCAGGAAAACACCCTGAAGGCTACAGCTCCAAGTTCCAGTTTTTCCCTAAACATTCAGAGAAGCTGGAAAGGAAGATTGCTGAGATTCACAAAACAGAACTCAGGTGCGTGACACTCGGTTCAGGCTAGGCCACTGTCTCCCTCACAGCCTGAGCTCACAGCCTCTGCACTGCACCCTCTGCTCCTGCAGACCCAGCCTTCCTGACTCTGGGATGTACCATTTTCAGTGATCCACTGACAGTACAACCTCAAGTATCCCTCTCCAAGAACAGTGGTGTAGGCTGAGGCTTAAAGGCAAGAGAGAAGCTATATATGTAAGGAAAATGGAGAAGGATTGGCCTCTGAAAGGTATTTGCTTCACTAAGATAAATGAAGAGACAGAGGGAATAATCATGAACTGGGGAAAAGGAAAGGGAAAACATAAACAGCAGAAGAGGGAAGAGAGGAGGGGTTAAGTGGGGATGTGAAAAATGGGCAAGCCTCCGACCTCGGTCCGTGACAGTGACAGGTGGCTTCTGGATCAGTGGATGGGACCGCACAGGGCTGGCCTGATTCATAGCTGGTGTGGGTACCTTGAGAGCACCTCGTTCAAGGGTGTGTCTTCAGCACTGCTCCCTCAACCCCACACCCCTGCACTGAGGGAAGGAGGGGAGAAGCAGCTGGAAGCAGGAGGCTCCTCAGATTCTCCTAGGTCACCCAGAATGTGCCACATCCCATAAAATCGCATCGATGCATCCTCTCACCCATATGAAATAGTGTTTTCTACAAAGGTTGGTTTTTTAAAAAGCAACAAAAGGGTGTTTAGGCTCTACTTTACATGGCACACTGGAGCACAGATTCCCCAAACTGATAAACTAAGAAAAAATTTATATACAATACAGCATTGTAAAATAAAAGCTGCTATCATATTAATACAGTGCAATTTAAAAAAAAATCTTTTCAAATGTTTGTGTAACTACCTTTCTGGGGAAGGACAATGTCCAAGGGGTGGGAAAAAGATATTTCTAATGATAACATTAACCTTAAACTAGTTCCTACCTGATGCCCCCGAAACAAAAAATCTTCACCTTCACTCAAAGATTTTACCAACAGATACGTCCCCAAAGCCTCTTTAGCCTTATAAACAGACCTCCTGCCCACTGTGTGTGGTTGGACTGGTCCCCACCCTCCAGAGGAATGGAGACACCTACCAGAGGTGGAATCCTAGCCGCCTCCCACCCCTCTCCCTGTGCAGGTGCTGCCCCAGCTCCTCCCATCACTCTTAGGGAATAGTGGCCCCTTGTGGTACAGGTCAGAATAAACACATGTGTGAGGGCTCCTGGCTCATTCAAAGGAGAGATCAAGGGTGTGCTGGGACAGCCGGGAGGCCCTGCCAGGAGGGTTTCAGGAGATGTCAGAGCAGTGGGGACAGTCCTCCAGAAACCTCATAGAAGTCAGGGGATCCCCCAGGAAATGATGCCCGCCCACTTTGAGGGCCCCAGAGGGTTGAGGGTGAATGCAGCCTACGGAGCCCTCCAGTCTCCACACCAGGAATAAGGAGGCTCCCTGGAAGGGGTAGCGGTGCTCAGCTGCCTCTGGTGCCCGGTCCTTTGCCTGCTGCACCAGCATTTTCCAAACACCTTCCTGCCGCGGTCCAGCCTCGGCAGTGCAGGGATAACCCGAAGGGAGGACAGAGTCGGCGATTAAAGAAAATCCACTCACACCAGAGTCAGATGAGATGCTTGCCTTTTTTTTTTTATTGCCACGCAAATAGCCCTTTTTATATTTTGTTTAACTCTTATTACACCATTGATTTTTCAACAAATTCTCATGGTTACATTAATGATTATCTAATCATATAACACAATATTATGAATGCTTTCTTTTTTCAGCCTTCTCATAACAATGGTTGCTCAATGTCCCCCTGCGGTTTTCTTTTCTCAAAACGTCTGGCAGAACTTTCGTTCTTTGTTTCAGGTCTTGTGGTTACAGTGAGCTAATACAATCTTAAAACACACAGGCTGTTCCGTCCTTGAGCATTCAAAGGGCCTAACTATTTTCCTGGTATAGTTCTAGATTCTTATCTAATAAAAAATTACCACTAGTTCACACAAAACTTTCTATATTCTAGCAAGGCATAAGCAATTTCTATCAAGTAACTTCTTTTATGCATAAATCCTTAGGTTGCTAGGAGGACATTCAACTTTTATATATATATGTTGCTTTCATGCAAAACATACTGGCAAAATATAAGTTGCCCTTTCCAAGCATTAATATCCATCTTCTCTTTTAATGTGGGCTGTTTTAGTCTAAACATTCCCATGCTTGATCCTCTTTCCCATCGTGGAGGACGGGGAGTAGGTAATGGTGGGGGAGTTAAGGGGCCTTTTTGTCCCCCTGATGCTTCATCCCAAGGGGTTTTACTAAATTTCCATCGGGAATTACCATCTCCCAGGGACTCTACATGCCTTCCCCTAGGTTATAATCCTCCGTCACCACATGCGAACAAACAAAGAAGTACACAGATCAAATAAATGTCAAACCCTTTAGTAATATTCATTATAATTCTATAAAGGCTGAGCTTCACCCGTAGACAACAGCTGTGCTGGTTCCCTTGGCTGTGCTCAAGGGATACTTGTCACATCTGGATGGCTCTCAGCACCTTCCCTGTGTCTCAGGTGCACTGGTGGGTGTAAACATCTGCATTCTACAAAATGCCTCCTTACACAGGTACTGCTTACACAGGCTCAGCCTCATCTCCATAATGTAAAAGTGTGTCTGTGTTTCCTTTCTCCAACTCTAACACGCGTTCCTTGAGGGCCCAGACTGCACTATAGTTTATGGTGTATTTCATACGGGACAGCACAGAAGCTGCTGAGGTGCTGATTGATTGATGCCTCTCCAGAAAGACACTAGAGGGAATCTGGTCTGCTTCTCCCTCAGGCTGGCTTGTCTTCCTGCCCTGCCATATTACTTGAGGCAAATGATGAACTTAGAAAGTTTCAGTCCTGCCCACCAGCCGTCAGAGTTGTTGACTTGACAAACTGCCCACACCTCACACTGAAGCCAATCCCACATCTGTAGAAGGTGGTCGGCTTCCCAGGGCGCTGGACCCTGAGAGAGCCTGTGGTGATCCTGCACTGGTTCTGCGTGTAGCCCATCCATGCCCCTGCTGAAGAGGCAGCCATGAGGGGAGTGATGTGAAGGCCCCTTCTTCAGATGGCTTGGTGCCAGCGCTGGTTTCTCCCTTTTTTCTGCTTGTTTCCTTTTCACAGTCATCAGCCTGTGGGCAGACAGAGCTATTGTGGAGTCTGGGGAGCTCAGCACTGTCTTCTGTTGCATCTCTTTACCCTCCATTCCTGTGTTCCCATTTGGTAAAGGAAGAGGGTTAGGCAGCAAGATATACAGGTCCCTTCTTTGTGTTTCAGTCTAGATCAGATGGCCTGCAGCCAGCCTACACATGTATTTTTTTTCTGCCTCCATAGTACTTAAAACCGAAATGCCACATAAAAATCGGTATCTGTGAATTCTCTTTAAAAATCACACCTGGGTTTCCCTGGTGGCGCAGTGGTTGGGAGTCCGCCTGCCGATGCAGGGGACACGGGTTCGTGCCCCGGTCCGGGAAGATCCCACATGCCGCAGAGCGGCTGGGCCCGTGAGCCATGGCCGCTGAGCCTGCACGTCCGGAGCCTGTGCTCCACAACGGGAGAGGCCACAACAGTGAGAGGCCCGCGTACTGCAAAAAAAAAAAAAAAAAAAAACACACCTAGCAATGATGGTGTGACTACAGTCCAAGACTGCATTCCAAGACTATAGCTGAGGAGCAGCTGCCCTCATTAGATGGGGTGGCACTCCCAGTTTGCCCTAGTCCCCACCACTCCCTATTGTATTACACTCAGCCCATGTCATTCATTATGTAGCCTGCCTCACTCTGAAGACTTCCAAGGTTTTGACACTAGATAAGAGTCTCTGAAGTCGGTCCTAGGATGGAGCAGGGAGCACACTCTATGGAAAAATTGGAGTGTGAGACACCCTGAGCACTTCCTAATTGAGTTTACCTCAGGGGAACCTATGGGAGCAGGAAATCCTGAAATCATCCCATTTTCTTTATTCCAGTGGCCAAACACCAGCAACATCAGAGCTGAACTTTTTAAGAAAAGCGCAGACGTTGGAGACATACGGAGTGGACCCTCACCCGTGTAAGGTAAGACCCGCCCCCATGGCCGGAGACTGCGCTGACCTTGCCCCCTCTAGGCAGGGGTGCCCGGTCCATGGCCTGTTAGGGCCGCACAGCAGGAGGTGAGCGGTGGCGAGCGAGCGGAGCTTCATCTGCTGCTCCCCATCGCTCACATTATGGCCTGAACCATCTTCCCCAGGCCCCCGTCCATGGAAAAATTGTCTTCCGCAAAACTGGTCCCTGGTGCCAAAAAGGTTGGGGACTGCTGCTCTAGAGGGTGACAGGCAGGGAGGGACCACGCGCCTGCACCACCCGCCCCTTCAATATTGGGATGATTGGCTTTTTTAGTGACAGACGCCAGAGAAAATGTCTCATTGTGAAAACTCCTCTGGATTCCACACTGCATAATCTTGTGGTGCCACATCGATGTCAGAGGGTCCGAGACAAAGTCCATTTAAATAACAGATTGGAAACCGGGGCCCCACTTTGGCAGCAGTGGGTAATTTGGTGGAAGTGAAGAGAAGAGGAATGGGGGAGGCCCCCCACAGGGAATGATCAGAGGCTGCTCAACGCACTGCCCACCCTTCCCTGACCCGTAATCTAGTTTCTTTCCAAGAGTGGGTTTTTATTGACTGCAGCGGCCTAAGTCACTGCGTGGAACTGCACTGGAGTCACGTTTAATTCCCTTATGTGCGTGTGAGGGCGGGACAGGAACCAGCCAGGGAGGCTCTGCCCAGAGAGGAACCTCTGTGATTACTCACGTGAGTCTGGCATTTCAGAGACGAACTCGGGCAGCCACTCGAGACTGTGGAAAGCAGTGGAGACCCATGGCCTCTTCCTGTCTCTCTGTGGCCAGGTCCCTGCGCTTCATCTCCTCATCCCAGCTGCTCTGACACTTCTGGTCTCTGCCTCAGTTTCTCCAAATCTTTGCCTCTCTCTTTCCACTACTGGAGAGACCCCAGTATCACAAGTAAAACTGATTCTCAAACACTGACCTATTCTTCCTAATAAGTGAGGGGCACCATAAGTTTCCAACAAAAATTAATAGAATAGAAACCGAGGAACCCAGTGATGTGGAGGCAGAGTTGTGTTTCCCTTGGCCGCTTGGTGAGGAGATGGTGATGTTTTTGTTGCATGGGATTTAATGCCGAAACTTCAAATATGAACTTTGAGAACATTCTGGCACTCAGAAACCTGGTCACCCTCCCAGCTCCACAGTTCCCTATCTACCAGCACAGCCTACTAATGATAACCCCTGTGCTCTTGGGGGCCAGCACTGTCAGAAAACACATTCATGCCGTTTTATACCAAAAAAAAAAAAAAAAAAAATAAAAGGGACCCTAGACTTAAATGTAAAATGCAAAATTCTAAAATTCCTAGAAGAAAACAGGAGAAAATTTTTGTGACTATGGGCTAGGCGAAGATTTCTTAGGATACAAAAAGCGCAAATCATAAAAGGGAAATTGGATAAACTAGACCTTGCTGCAATTTAAAACTTCTCCCCTTCAGAAATATTTAAGGACTGTGGGAATTCAGAGGATATGGGGTGCTGCAAGGACTGACTGATGAGAGCTTTGGAGTCAGCTGGCCTTGGCTCCAGGGCCGGTCTCCTCCTCCCTGGGGCCTTCAGAAGCTTCTCTGAGCCTGGCTTTCCTCATCCGTGTGCAAGTCCTCAGCAGATACTCCGCACCTGTGCTCCCTGAACTGCTGAGTCACTTCAGGACCTGAAAAGACAACAGCTGCCGCCTTCTCGTCTCCGCCATCCTATGTGCGGCTGGATTTGCTCCATGTCTTCTCACAAGGCTCACAAGTCTTGTCTTCTCACAAGACTTTCAGGATCAAGCAATTCCTGGCCAAGAAACAAAAGCAGAATCATCCCATTCCCCAATGGATTCGAATGAAAACTGGTAATAAAATGAGGTATGACTCCAAGAGAAGACGTTGGAGAAGAACCTCGCGGGGTCTGTAAGGAGCCTCGCGTATGAAGTGGCACACATTGATGCTGTGTCAAAGTCACTTGCCTCTTACCATATCACTTGGAGACCATCACTACCGTCTGACCAGCTGGGTGTGTTTTATTGGGAAAATTACTTTTTTCTTTGTGCGTTTCTGCACTAGTGCTTTGGTTTAGTAGTAAGTACGTGAGACCTTTTGGTTAGAAGGAAAATAAAAAAAAGACATAGCTGCCTAAAGATAGATATGGTCAACAGAAGATGCCAGGTCACCTCTGCATTTAACCCCACATCTGTCCAGTCCCTTTGAGGCCACACAGAGTGCCCACCTCTTCAGAGATGGGTCCCTAGGCAGGGCTGTCACCTGATGGCACGTAGAGGTGGGCTGACAGTGAACCTGAGCATGACAACTGAGTGTAGCAGGGTGGGGATTCTCTGCTGTTGCCTACGGGGGTCTGGAAGCTACAGCGGCAGCCAGCTTGGTATCCAGCCCAAATCCACATGCACCCTAGGACCGCAGGGGTCCTGGCTCAGGCCTGTCTTTTGACGAGTCTGTCCAGCAGCAGACACAGAGGTGAAGAGGCTACAGGAAGGAACCGGCTTTCATACCAGGCACTGCACAAGGCCCAATCCCATATATCATATCATTTCATCCCCACGGCACCCACTCCTAGAAGGAGGGAGGGCAGAGAGGTTTGTGGCACACCTTCCCTAGCAGGCCCACTGGGATCCTTTCACATTATTTTCTTATCTAATCCTCATGCCAGCACTGGGAGGTGGATATTATTCTTCCTGATTTATAGACAAGAAGATGAAGATGAAGGTTCCAGGAGGCCACAATTTACAAGGCCCTGAGTGGCAGAGCAAGGATATATGAACTAAGGTCACTTCCTGTTGCTGTGTATCTCTAAGGAGCAGAAGCCCCCAGGAGACTTCCTCTGGGGAGAAGGTGGGAGCAGTCATCTTGCTGGGATTCCACTCCCTTGTTCCTGGGCCCCCTACTTCTTGCTCACCCAGGGCCACGTCAGGGCCCTGCTGCAGACCCCGCGGCTCATCTCATTAGGCTCTGGCTCAGGATTCCCTCAGCCCTCCTGAGAAAGGAGAACAGATTGGGAGCCTTTACTCTTGTCATTAAGTAGAGTCACTTTGGTGATAGGCTACCAAGCACTCGCCTTAATGTTGCTACAAGGAGAGCCGAAATAAGCTGGAGTGCTTGGTGTAATAAATACTGATGATTTCTATTAACAAAGAGGCAATTACTGGGGCCCTGAGAATCTGGGGCACACAGCCCTAGGGAGGACAGAAGAGGAGGAATCGTTTCGATAATTAAATGAGATCAGAACAACGCTTCAGTTGGGCTCTGTTCTCCTGGACTGATTAAGAAGCTGCTGTTCTTGCTGTCCACACTGATGGTTTCTTTCTGCCCAGAGGGTCCTTGCCTGGCCCTGGGACTAGGAAGAGGATATCCTACCCACTCTGGATGGGACAGCCAGAGGGCTCCAGTAGCTAGCTGTCTTACACTAATACCCAAACTCTGAACTTGCACAAGCTGTCCTGAGCTCTCTGCCTTTCCCCTGACCCCCAACTCCTGGCAGGAGCCCCTAGAAGACCAAGCCTACAGCTGCTGGATGAGGAGGATGGAGCAAACCACTGACAGCCCAGTGTTGCGTCCGCTCCCCGGCCCTGACACCTCTCCAACCTCTCACCATCTTGTTCCTTCCAGGGGGCCTGGGACTGGTTGTTTGCCTTGGGCCTCCTGCAGGCCCAGACTGTGGCCTCCTGCCCTGTCAAGGATTTGAAGTGGTCGGACCCACTACATGAGCCCAGCCTTATCATGAATCATGAAGGTGCCATTTATTGAAAGCCTCCACATGCCAGCCACTTACACTATCTCATTGAATCTTTTTTTTTTTTTTTTTTTTTTTTTCCC